ATGAAATCCACCCAAATTTCATTATAATTGCTTGCTTTAATTATCCCTTTTTAAATTTAATTTCTGTTAATTTTTCATTTGTTGCCATACTCCAAATTTCATTATAACTGCTTGCTTTAATTATCCCTTTTTAAATTTAATTTCTGTTAATTTATCATTTGTTGCCATACTCCAAATTTCATTATATCACTAATTTCTTTGAATATCTCAATTTTGTCCCCCATATTTAGCAATCGCTAATCTAGCTGCCATTATCAAATTTACAATCAATTCAACAGTAATGCAATTCTCAGTGACATGTCTAAATTTACATTCAAAAGTGCTCTAATTTCTCTAAATACCATGTCCCATATTTTTTGTGCACTATCACAATCCCACCATATACCGGATGTTTATGTTTCGACTTCTTTCTTGCACCTCCAACAAATATTTGTATATTTACCATCTATTTGATTTAATTTATGTGGTGTTAAATACCACCTCCATATCACTTTATATCCATTTTCCTTAACTCTGACATATTCTTATATACTCTTCTATTCCAAATATTTTTTCAATTATTACCATTTATTTCTCCTAAACCTGATTCCCAAATTAATTTTAAATCTTTTTCCTGCTCTTCTAATTCAGTTAATATTCTATATATTTTCCCAATTCTTCCTTTACCTATATATTCTTCATTCACCTCACATTCTTTTATAATAATTTTAAATTTTGTTAACTGTCTTATCTTTCTCCTCAAATCTTTCTTCTACTTTTATCTATTTCTCCAATTGTATTACTCAACCAATTTAATTCAATATCTGATTTAAAAAATTCTTTAGCTGTGTTATATTCTTTATTTTATTCTTCCAGTCTTCTCATTTATATATCTGATTTTCTTTTAAAAAACTTAGGAATCCATATTTCTAATCAAAGGTTCCTTCCATTTATCTTATAACACACATCAACAATTATTTTTATTTTATTTTCCCTTAATATACACGGGAACCTAAAAGGAGTGGAGAGAAATGATTTAATGTCATGCAAATGGTTCTCTTTCATCCATGTGAAAGTTAAGCATCAAAAATGATTTGCCTGGATTTTTATTTTTCATTCTCAACTTCCATAACACAATGTGCTGCCCAAGCATATACTACATGATTTGGGGATATTACATTTTTTGAATGCTGACTCAGAGATGATTAATTTTCTTCTTCAACATATGTAACTCTTGTAATCCTGTCGCAGCTATTTTGAAACTCACCTCCTTTTCTTTACTTTTTTTTAACTCACCGTTTTCTTTAAAACAATTTTAAAAACTTCTTAAATGATTAAACTGCCCGTCTTTTACATATGTTTACTATGTGGTTTTAAGAAGCTCGGTTTCTTAAAAGTATTTAACATATCGTGTTTGGATGAACTGTCCCAAAAGATGGAGTATCAATGTAATACAACTTTAAATATAGCACAGTAACAAAGTTTGGATTAATTTAAAATTGTTACATTACAGCATACTATACAGGATATTTATCAGAACAGTAATAATCCCAGTTAGCAGAGAAAGAGAGAGACAGAATTCAGTGGGAAAGAAATCATGTTGCCATTCAATTTGTAACATTTCTTCCAGCAAAAAGCAAGGTTTGGCAGATTCATCAAATACACAATTGGATAGGCAAAGTTGTTTCCCTTCCCTTGCAAACAAAGCTGAATTTAGTTATTATTTGATGAAATAAATTCTTAACTGCACAAACCGATATATAAAATTGCAGGTGACAATTAAGATACAATGGATGATAAGAGTTTGAGTGGAAAATGCCAAGTACAAACAAAAGGGGGAATTCCACACGCTAACACTTAAATCACTGAGCGAATACTTTTTGTTCTGGAGAACTTTTTTCACTTTTAAAAATTACAGAAGGCCCCAAAAGGTTTTTGTTGGCCTGGCTTCTGTTTATTGATATTTACTAAACTAAAAACGGATATGTATTTGTAGAACATTTACTGAATCATGTAAAAACAATATTAAACTCATTAGATATTAACAAATTTTTCATGAAGAAAATAATGAGAGGAGTGAAAACAGTTTACATTTTTACAAACATCTTCAATGTTTGGCAAATAATTTTGATTTCAGGGATCTTTCAGGGATCTTGGGGACACACAGATCCCCAGGAATCTTTGAAACACATTTTACATTTCTATAAAGATAAATCTGCCAAATATTGGAAGTGTAATCAACCATTGGGTTGGTTGGTTTCATACTATCATATGTGGTGGACTTGCCCAAAAGGTAAAAAATATTTCCACTTGGTTGGAAAAAATATAAAGCAACATATAGACTTGAAACCAGAGATGTTTTTGTTGGGCATTCTACCGGAAAAATATGATAAAAAGACTATATATCTCATCCCCCAAATGCTGGAAATGTAACATACTATCACATGAGGTGGACATGTAAAATAGCAAGGAATTACTGGGAGAAAATTCATAATTGGTTAGAAATGATAACTGAGCAACATATTGAGTTCAAACCAGAAACGTGCCTTTTAGGTATATTGTCGGAAAGTTATGACAAAGCAACCATTTATTTAGTGTTACATATATTGACGGCAGCAAGAATTACATATAGTCAATATTGGTAAAATGTGAACACTCCATTGAATAATGATATAATTAGGAAAATTTTGGACAGTGCTGAAATGGATAGATTAACCTTAAAAATTAAAGATTAAGAAGACTCGAAATATTATAGGAAATGGAATAAACTTTATGAATGGATAGAGACAAGAGGTAGAAATGAGAGGGGAATTTACTGTCAATAATTGTTAGTTTGGAAAACAAAGATGTATAAAACTATGGATATAATATGGAAAAATTGTAAATAAGCTAATGTAAGTAGAAATTTAGTTAAAGCTCTTTTTCTTTTCTTTTCAGTCATATTACTGTAATTACTGTCAATATAGTACTGTTATAGTTATTACCCTGTTTCCCTGAAAATAAGTCCTCCCTGAAAATATGGCAACACAGCAGCAGCCATGATACGGTAGCTTATATGTTAACATTTACTATTGATTTCTCTTTGGCTTTGTTTTATTTGTAATTCTTATCCTGACATGGCACTGTCTTTTCATATATGTGTGTTTGTGTGTGTGTGTGCGCGCGCGCGTGTGTAACATTAACATGGAGATAATTTGATGATGTTATGTTTATTGCAACTATATTAATATGTAGTTATATTATTAACATTATTGTGCTGCATATAATAACAAATATGTGGATTTATGGCTGTTTAAATAACTGTACCCAGATCACACACGGAAATGGAAAGTAATACTGCCAACCTGCCTTCCATTGAGGACCTGTACACTGCACGAGTCAAAAAGAGGGTGGTGAAAATATCTACAGACCTCTCGCCTCCTGGACATAAATTGTTTCAACTCCTACCCTCAAAACGACACTATAGATCATTGCACACCAAGACAACTAGACACAAGGGCAGTTTTTCCCTGAACGCCATCACTCTGCTAAACAAACAATTCCTTCACCACTGTCAAACTATTCACTAAAGCTGCATTACTATTACTAGTAATGCAGATAAAGCGCCGGAGGAGACGCCTAGAGCACCTGTGGAGGTCTGATAGGTCCGAGTCGAGCCGGGCACTGTTGACAGCTTGCACCAAGGAGTATATTCGGGCTCTAAGAACAGCCAAAAGATCACACATTGCCTCCTTGGTAGCGTCCGCCGAGTCCCACCCAGCCGCCCTGTTTAGGATAACCCGCTCCCTCCTAAATAGGAGGGAGACGGAGAACCCCTTACAGGGTAAGGCT